CTTTGATGTGAAGACCCACATTCACTACTTTGTTCACCTGTGGGAAGGAAGCCCCCCAATGGCACCACCCAACCCCACCTACAGCCAGAACGTCCAGCAACTCAAGAGCAAAATCTTCCAGGCAGCCAAGAATCAGTCTCAGTGCAGCATTTTGAGGTTCTCGAGTCTGAAAGATCGTATTGGTGACCTCTGGAATGCTTTGCTGAATGAAAACTTTGTTTTCAGCTTCAAGAATTCCCTGGAGATTGCTGTGTACAGGAAACTGGAAAGTGCCTTTAGTCAGTGGACCTGGAGGCTGAGGAGTCACATCTCAGATGTACAGATGAGATTAGAAAATAAAATTCGGAATGGGGACTTTCAGAGTGTCACCAGAGAACACCTTGAAGGTCTGGTGCGAGAGACAATTGATGCCATTGAGAAAGAAGTGGAAAAGTATTTCAGGGAAGACAGAGACCGTGAGACACTGGTCCAATGGAAATCAGGCACAGAGCTGAAGCTGAACGAACTAAAGGAGACTCTTCTTGATGAAACCAAAAAGAAATGTGAGAATCTTATTGAGCTACAGAAGGAGCAGAGGAAACTGGATGCAAGGAAGTTGCAATATGAAGATGAGCTCCTGAGAAGGAGTCGGGAGCTGGCTGTGAGTCTGAAGGGGAAAAGCCTCAGTGAGAGAGAACTGGAGGACAACTTTACTCTTGTCTGGAACAAGTGGATTGCTGAAGTCTCCCGTGATGCTCGTCCTCGGGAACAGGTGGATATTGATGTAGAAATTGAAGATGTCCTTCTTGAGCACTTTAAGGAGCCAGGTATCCATGCACAGATTATGTCATTTCCCAAAGGCAGAGGATTTTCCTTTGATCCAGAGAAACACATCATCAAGAAAAAGTATTTAGGCTATTTCTCAGATCCCAGGAGGCTTTCCAATGCTGATGTGATCAACTTTCAGCACATCACAGACAACATCATAGCGTGTGTGATAGCAAACATTGCTAAGAAAGAACAAGAGAAACGGGATTACAGTCGAAATTTTATTCATGAAATACTCAATGAAGTACAGAAAGGTGTGAACTCCGTCCCTAGCAAGGCAAAATGTAATTTTAACAGAGAGTATAGGAGAGATTTGTCTCTGTATCTGTGCAAAATAGCAGCAGAAAGGTTTAAAGCCATGCACGAAGCATTCCAAAAGGCAAATGACCCAGTTGTGTACCTGAGCAGCAAGAGAGAAGATTTCTTCCAATGTTTCCAGATTTCCTGCCAAGGAGCTACTTCGGTCACAACTTTTGCTGTTTTCCTTTGTGACAAGATTGAACCAGCTCTTTGCCATGCAGTCTATGAGAGGACGGCTAAAGACATTGCTGAGGACATGCAAGGCCAATTCCCAGATTTCCAGGGCAGCAGAGCCAATCTGGAAGTTTGCATCCTGAGATACCTGGCAGAACAGGAAAATTTTGAATATTTCAAGCAGTACCTTACATCTCCAAAACAATTTTTTGAGGCTTATATTGAGACACGAGTTAGGAATCACTGTTTAGATGGGAGTAGGAGGCTGGGGATGTTTTTAGATTCCTCCCTTAATCTTCTCTATCGAAACATCCAATCAGCTGTTTCTTCATCAACCCAAATTGTCAAAGACAGAAAAGACAGAGAAGACAAAGTCTCTCTTTGGCTGGATGGATTTTGCAGGGAACTGTCAGAGGTGATCAACTTGCCCAGAAGTGACCTGAAGGGCATTGAGCACCAGGAGGTCACAGACATTGAGTTCCTGAGCAGGGCCATGACAGAAGCTCTGGCTGCCCTGCGGGAAAGGCTCATGAAAGAATTGGCTGATGCTGACCTGAGCTCGTTTTCAAGGCAGCCTCACACCATCCTGGCAGAGCATTTTTCAGGGTGCTGGGAGCAGTGTCCATTTTGTGGGGCTGTCTGCACAAACACCATGTGGAATCATGATGGAGACCATCAGCTGGTCTTCCATCGCCCACAAGCTTTGAAGGGATGGAGGTGGTTTGGGACAGACCAGCTGGCCATTGATATTTGTTCCAGTGATGTTGCAAGTGATGGCTCATTCAGAGTTCGTGACAATGAAGAGATCCCCTACAAGAGATACCGGGATGCAGGACCCCCGTATTCCACTTGGAACATTCTTCCTGATTCCTCCATGCAGGCGTACTGGAAATGGTTTGTGTCTCATTTCAGGACACAGCTGGAAGCTCTGTACAATGGGAAATTTCAAGGTAGAGGAGAAATCCCTGAGATGTGGTGGAGAATTACTAAGCAGGAAGCACTGTCTGAGCTGGAGAAGCGTTAGGCCCTATCCTTGGGGAGGAAGAACCACAACAGTTATGCAGTTTAGGAGAACTTCGTACCAGGCTCTCCACAAATGCAGTTACAATGATGACATTCTCAAAACATGTTCACATAATGACATCTAACTTTTCTCAAGTTTGCTGAAATAAGGCAAGTTACTGTGGCCATTGCTCAGCAACGCCCCACTTCCTGAGAGAGCCAGATTTCTCTTGCCTTTTTGCCTGATCTTTTTAAAGCACCTTGTGAACCTAGAATCAGAAGTTCTAGGTTCATTAGCAATGGAATTTTGTGCTGAGTTTCAGTACCAGGGAGATCCACAATCAAATGTTAGTCCCCATCATCTGACAGATTTTACAAATCAAAATGTGAGACAAGAAATGCTAACTTAGAAATGCCATAGAATAAGACAGATACTGCTAAAAGAGAAATAGAGCTGGAAAAAAAGTTTTGAAAGGTGGCTTGCAAATAAGCTTAGATACTTTGGAGAAACAGAAATATAAAAAATATATTGTAAGAGAACCCATAAGGGGTAGTTTTAAATAATTTGCTTTAAGGCATCTGCAGCATAGTGTAGCAAAAAACTAGTAAGCCAGGAAAGACTTATAATGCTTTGTAATTAAGACATAGTCAGCTTCTAATTGTGATGGTGTGTATTGAAACACCTGTATTGTGTCACCTTTCATATGAGACTGAAAAATAGAATGAAAAGTTTTAAAAACGCCTCTCAGTTGCCCCATCTCTGGGTCAGAAAAGGACTGAAATCCAACACCCCAAAGGCAGTTTTCCTGCAGCAAGGAGCTGTCCTGCTCAGAGAAAGGGCTGCGGAACCTGAGGCCAGCTCCACACTGGGCTGCTCGGCTTTTGGGCATCATCCTTCCCTCCCTTCCCTCATTGCAGCCTCCTGGATCAACTGAGGCCATTCTCCCAGCAGGAGCTGCTGTGCCTCTGCTCTCAGGAAAGCAGTGACACGACCTCCCTGGGTCTCAGGCAGTGCTTTCACTCCCTGTCTCAGGGGTGCTGTGTCTCTGTCCAGGGCAGCCGCTCCTGCTCAGGAGCCTGGGGCTGCTGCCCTTCCCTGCAGCCCTCAGCCCCAGCAGGAGCTGCTCCTGCCCTTGGCCTGGCTGCTGAGCAAAAGCCTTTGGAATGCCCCACGTGGAGAATGCTGTCTGCCAGCACCCTCTGCAGCAGCCCTCGGGGCAGTGCTGGTGCTGCCCAGGCAGGCTGGTGGCACCGGGGCCGTGCTCTGGAGAAGGTGGCACCAGCTGGCTCTGTCCCAGGAGCTGTGGGGGCTTTGGCTGTGCAGGGGCTGCAACCCTGCTGGCAATGGGAGGGCTGAGCTCTCCTGGAGAGCTGCTGAAGGGCTGCTTCAGCCTCATCTGCTGCTAATAAAGGAGTTGATTTGGCCTGCTCTGTATCTCTGTGTTCAGCGCAGCCACAGGTGGGGGTGACTCGAGCTCTGTGTGCTATAGACAGGCAGGGGACAGGGGGTGGCACTGGGGGAGGGGGTGTGACACCGTAAGTTCTGCTCCATTCAGGGTCTCTGCTCCAGTGTTGTGTCTTAATACCGCGAGATGTTTGGGGGCGGAGTGCAGGACTCTGTCTGGGATGTGAGGGGCTGGTTTATGGCCGCTTTTTTTTGGCTCAGCGGTTGAGGATAGCGGTCATGAATGCTACAGACAGCATTTGGCTCTTGCAGGGACATTGCTACAGTTTAGCTTTCCTCCCTGAGTCTGCCTGCCTCCACTGCTCCAGCCCGCTGCTCCAGGGATCCTCCCACAGTTTAACCCATTTGCCCCATCTTAGGTGTGAAAAATACATATTATATGATTGGCTCTTCACAAGCATTAAAATGAATACTGTATGTGTTATGTTGGAAAGTTATATTATATTAACTTCTTTTAAGTAGTGCTGTATTAATCTCTTTTAAGTAGTGTAGTAAGTATAGTTTTTAAGCTATAGCATAACACCAAAATATAAACTATATGACATAAGATACTTTTTGCACTAACTCAGAAATTACAAAAGATAACAAAGAAATTCTTCACATTATCCTATCTAGATAAAAATAACAACAACAGACACCAAAATCCCAAGTGAAGAATTATTACCTTCTTATCGAGAAAACTCAAACTTCAAAAAACCAAGAAAGTGAATTTACAAGATGGGGCAGGGGGGGAGCTAAAATTAAACAAAAACACCTTAATTGAAAAGAAAGTTTAATTCATTTATAATATATATGAATATGCAATAAACTGTTACTTTTAAAGAGTAATTCTTTATTAGCAAAGTGCGCCTTTTAACAAAATACCAAACACCCAGATATCCGTAATTCTTTACTTTTTATTGTCTCTTACTGCCTTTTATTATCCTAATTTTTATTGTCTTAATTTTTATTGTCCTAATTTTTGTTGTCTTAATTTTTATTGCTATTTTCATCGCCAATAAACTTTTTAAATTTTAACAACTAGCGTTTTTCATATTAGGAAAGACAGGCACCCGCTGCCCACACCACACATGACCATCGCCCATATTTTCCCCTTGCCTGAGGTCCCACCACCACTTCCGGAGGTTTCCGAGCCCACTCCAAGCGCCCTTGAGGCTGCCAGGGCACCATTGTGGCCCCTCTGCCTTGCTGGGAGGCAGCAGCGCCCCCTGGAGCTGTGGAGGTGTCACTGCAGCCTTGACATGAGCCAACAGCGCTCCGTGCTGGTTGTGGGTGTAACTACACCAAAGGGAAATTGCTTGATGGGTGAGAAAAGGCTGGGTTTGGTTGTTGTTTTTTTGTTCCTGTTGTTGTTGTTGTTGTTTATTATCAATGACTTACAGAAGGGATGTGACTACAGTTGGGCTAAAAACAATTACTCAGATAAACATCAGCCTCAAAGGTTGTCAGATTTTGAAGAAGTAAACAGACATAGCTCAAAGTAGTCACCAATTTCTTCCTTACAAGCAATAGATAACATTCTAATCCAATGGAAAGTTGCCACGAAGTTTATTTTGTTTTTCTAACCTATCACCTTTCCTTAATTCTGCTGCACTGTGGATACTTTTATCCAATGGGCTACTATTACAAACCCACAGTTATACTTCTCTTTAAAACAGCTAAACTCTTAGCTTACTCTATACAACTACATTACTACACTCTAAAACCCTTCACCATCTGACCCAATACAGTTTCTCACTTACTTAAGGCACATTCTTACTTACAACTATAGAAACATAAGTTTATAATTTTTCTGTTTAATGTCTGTGTCCTTTTATTTTTACATCAAGCCAAGCTTCTTCCAAGGCTGCAAATCAAACCCTTCAGTATCTGTGGATGTTTCCATCTTTCCATTTCCTACAGCTGTTTTTGTTTTTCTTGTTATATCTATATCTATCTATATCATCTATATCTGTCTATATATCCCCTAGTAAAGAACATGTATTCCTTTTCCCATATCGTTGCCTAGAAACCCAAAAATTTCAACATTGTAATAATTTGGAGGGATGGGTTCATCTTTCCATTCCAGGAAGGTTCTCACCTTCCTTGGCAGACATCTCTCTGTTTAACCAGGAGACTCCCATCTTTCCAGCTTCAATACAACACTCTCCTATAGCTCAGGCTCAATAAAATCTTTCAGGCTTTCACCCCCACCGATAACACCATGGCATCTTTAAGTACTACACCACCATCCTTCTGCTGTACTGGATGATGGTGCTGTGAGAAATAAAATGACATACAATACGCTCTCCCATTTTCCTTCCCAGTGACAAAACATTAATTATAGTAAGGCATTATATATGAAAGTACCATTCTTAGGTTATTTTTCCTTATGCATAGATTGGCTACCAATGGTTGCAGTATTCAACCAATTGTTTTCTTGCCAAGGAATCTCCACTCACTCCCTTTCACCAGCATTTCAATATACAGCCCAAAGAGAAGCACTTTAGAATTCCCCTTCAACAGACTGACCTGATCCCATGATACAAAACTACAACAGTAAAATTTATCACTCACACACCACAGAGCTTTAAACAAGGCACCTGTGTAAGCTCTCTACACAACAACCAGCACAACTTTCAGCACCTTAGGAGTGAGACTACTGCAACCCACAATTAACAACATTAATTATAGTAAGGTATTATATATGAAAGTACCATTCTTTGGTTATTTTTCTTTATGCATAGATTGGCTACCAATGGTTGCAGTATTCAACCAATTGTTTTCTTGCCAAGGAATCTCCACTCACCCCCTTTCACCAGCATTTCAATATACAGCCCAAAGGGAAGCCCTTTATATTCCAGGATCTTCCTTGTATTTTGTTTGGTTTTTTTTTTATTTTTCCTTGATGTGTTCTTGGGGTTCTTTAGGGTCCCCTGGTGGTGTTCCATATGAGGTGGTTTTTTGCCCAGGTTATGTAAAGCCGCCAAAGGTATTTCTGAACCAAATGCATTGGGCTGGTTTGACTTGTTCCAGAGCTCTCAGCATTCCACCACTGTTACGTAACTTGCCATTAGCCCTGACTTCAACAGAAATTATTTAGAAGAAGATTGGACATAAGGAGGAAATTCTTCCTGGAAAGGGTGCTCAGGCCTTGACAGGGGTTGCCCAGGGAGGTTTGGAGTGCCCATCCCTGGAGGTGTCCTAGGAAGGACTGGACATGGGACTCAGCGCTCTGGGCTGGTGACAAGGTGGGAATTGGTCATGGTTTGGACTTGGGTCTCAGAAGTCTTTTCCAACCTAAGTAATTCTGTGATTCTGTATGTGCAGTGAAAGTGCCCTCATTTAGTTGTTGATACATTTGTAAAAACACTTTTTGTTACCTTTCCCAGCAGTGCTAAGACCTAGCTTATGCCTAATTTTCTCTCTGCATGACCTAAGAAGATCCTTGCACTTCTCCCGAGCTCCCTGCCCCTTCTTCCAAAATCCTGAGCTCCCCTGAGTTCCAAGCTCCCTGTTCAGCCAGGCTGGTCTCCTCCCCCTCTGGCTCATCTTTTGATGGGCAGCTCCTGTGCCTTTAAATTTTCCTTCTTAAAGCACATCCAGCCCTCCTGAACCCCTCTGAAGCGTTGCACTTCAACAGGTTCCTGAGAGTAACCTGCATTTTTGGGGTCTGGATTAAACTTGTTAAAAGGAGCTAAGAAAGAAAGGTGAGGGACAAGTCTTTGTTTGGAGATGCAACACCCATCCATGACTTTGAAGAGGATCCAGAAATGAGCCAGAAGTGTGGAGGGCACAAGGCTAAATAGGGGGGGAAAGGGGTGGATCTGATGGAGAAGGGCCAATGGGAACAGGGAAAAGTGGTGCAGGGGAGGGGCAGCAAACTAGAAGGACCAATGGGAGGATGGGGCGGAGCACTGCAGCAAACTGGGGCAAATAAGGATTGAGAAAGGGGAGAACATTCTAGGGGATATACGTAGATGGTAAACAGGGGGCTGGGTTGGGGTGGAAAAACTGGGAGAACCAATGAAACTTGAAGTATTAACCTGTCCCTGCAGAGGCCCATGGGAGGGAGGCTCTTCTCACCCTAACTTTGCGGAGTTTCTCCTCAATTTTTTCCTGCCCCTCAAGGACGCAAGTGTTGTAGCCTCGAGGTAGACTTTTGAGCCTCCACACTCCTCAATTATTAAAGATTATTTCTCAAGGGACTCTCTGAATTAGTATCCCAAACAAGACAAAGCCCATCCCCTGGAAGTTGAAGGTTTTGTTGAAGTCCCTCTTTATTTCATTGAGAATTGAAAATTTCAATCAATTCATGATCACTGTGCCCAGTGTGAAAAATGTGTATTTTATGATTGGCTTTTCACATATATTAAAATGAATATTATATGTGTTATGTTAGAAAGTTATGCTGTATCGAAATTTTCTTTACTAGCTTGTTAAATACAGTTTTAGGTTATAACATAATGTTAAAATAGAAACTATGCTATGTAACATACTATTTTAAAGAGAGGAATGAGGTACTCTCACTGAGATAGCAGCCACAGAACACCTGAATCCTTCAGAGAAAAAGAATTTATTGCTCCCTTATCAGAAGAAACGAACTTCTTCCTGCCTTGCTCAGCCCTGGAGATGCCGTTAGGATTCAGAGGAAGAAGCTGACACTGACCAGACAGAATCCTTTGTTTGAATGGAATTTATGCATCATGTATGAGATGTATGAATATGCAACAGGCTATTGCTTTTAAGGGTTAATCCTCTGTTGACAGGTGTCCTTTTTCAGGCTTATTTTGCCCAGAAAAAGGTACCCGGACTGTCTGTAACTCTTTGTTTTGATTGTCTCATATTGTCCTAATCGTAATTGTCCAAACCCTTATTACTCTAGTTTTATTACTATTTTTTGTAACCATTTTATTACTATTAAACTTCTAAAATTATAAAAACAAGTGATTGGCATTTTTCACAATGGGCTTCCCTTGATTCTTACCCACAGGCACTCCACCTTATCGAGTGTCCAAGGCCAGGCTGGACAGGGCTTGGAGCTCCCTGGGATGGTGGAAGTTGCCCCTGCCCATGCAGGGCTGAGATGAGATGAGCTTTCAGGTCCCTTTTCACTCCAGCCATTCTATCAATTGATGATTCAGTGACATTCAGGACGTGCAAACACAGGATCACCTTCCTGCCTCCCCCAGAGCTGCCAGCATCCCTGTCCAGGCAGGGCTGGAATCCATCCCTCACCTTCGGGTACCTCGATCCCCACAGCAGGATTCCTGCAGTGCTCCTGCAGCCCTGGGGCTGGCATCAGGGGGGTGGGAGCATTCCCGAGAGGGTGGGAGCTGTCCGGGGAGGGTGGGAGCATTCCCGGGAAGGTGGGAGCATTCCCGAGAGGCTGGGAGCAGCCCCGGGAAGGTGGAAACAGCCCTGGAAAGGTGGGAGAATTCCTGAGAGGGTGGGAGCAGCCCCGGGAAGGTGGCCTTCGCCTCCCGGGAAGGTGGAAACAGCCCTGGAAAGGTGGGAGCATTCCCGAGAGGGTGGGACTAGCCCCAGGAAGGTGGGAGCATTCCCGACAGGGTGGGAGAATTCCCGACAGGGTGGGAGCAGCCCTGGGAAAGTGGCCTTCGCCTCCCGGGAAGGTGGGAGCATTCCCGAGAGGGTGGGAGCAACCCAGGGAAGGTGAGAGCATTCCCGGGAAGGTGGAAACAGCCCCGGAAAGGTGGGAGCATTCCCGAGAAGGTGGGAACAGCCCCGGGAAGTGGGGAGCAGCCCCAGGAAAGTGGGAACAGCCCCGGAAAGGTGGCCTTCGCCTCCCGGGAAGGTGGGAGCAGCTCCGGGAAGGTGGGAGCATTCCCGAAAGGATGGGAGCATTCCTGAGAGGGTGGGAGCATCCCCGGGAAGGTGGGAGCATTCCCGAGAGGGTGGGAACAGCCCCGGGAAGGTGGTAACAACCCTGGGAAAGTGGGAGAAGCTCCGGGAAGGTGGGAGCATTCCCGAGAGGGTGGGAGCTGTCCGGGGAGGGTGGGAGCAGTCCCATGCAGGTGGGAACAGCCCCGGGAAGGTGGGAGCAACCCGGGGGAAGCTCCGGGAAGGTGGGAGCATTCCCGGGAAGGTGGGAACAGCCCCGGGAAGGTGGGAGCACCCCCGAGAAGGTGGGAGCATTCCCGGGAGAGTGGGAGCATCCCGACAGGGTGGGAACAGCCCCGGGAAGGGGGGAACAGCCCCGGAAAGGTGGCCTTCGCCTCCCGGGAAGGTGGGAGCAGCTCCGGGAAGGTGGGAGCATTCCCGGGAGAGTGGGAGCAGCCCCGGGAAGGTGGGAGAAGCTCCGGGAAGGTGGGAGCATTCCCGGGAAGGTGAGACCAGCCTCAGGAAGGTGGGAGCAGCCCGCGCCGCTGGCGCCCGGTGCGCTGCCGAAACCTATTGTCAGTCGCAATCCCTTAATTCCATTACACCTACCGCAGCAATCCGCTTAGGGGAAGCTGTGGAGAGGCTGAGGAAGGAGGAGGCATCGCTTAAATACACCTAGGCTTTATCCCGGGGGGGAAGAGCACGGCCCAAGGTACGGGAGAGGCTGCTCAGGGCTCTTGGGCTCTGCTCAGGGCTGGCTGAGTCGTTAAATTAGAAATATAGCTAGCAGAGATCATATAGTGTGATTAGAGTTTAACAAGAAAATCAGTCGGTATCAGGTGGGGATAACTGAAATAAAGTTGGGAGTGACAGGTGATATATGAAGTGTTCTAAGAGTGCAGGGGCATGAATACCATTGGCTTTTAAGAATGAGAGGAGGTTTGGAGTGTGAGCAGCAAGTCAAGGAGCCCTGCCAGCTTGACACGGGTGAAGAGTTTACTGTGAGGAAGACATCTTACTTCCTCCCCAGAAGCCAAACGACCCAATTAAAGAGGAAAACTGCGCAGCCATAATGGATATTCAGCTGATTATAATAAGAAGCATAAGGGTTATGTATTATGCATCCTTAGAAACGTCTTATATAAAACCTTTTCTGTATAAATAGAGAGCAGGAGTCTGCAACTCCTCACACGTGGCTTTGGAAAGGATTCCACGTGTGTCCGGTGCTGTAATAAATACAGTTTATTACGTCTTTTATTAATAATAATACTATTAATTAATAACTAATAATAATAGCATTTATCATATTTATTACTGTTTATTTATTACTTCTTTTAACTTTAATTAGTTGAGGAGTCATCTGTCCGTGCTTCACTGGCCACCCGCCTGCAGCCTCCTCCACTGCTCTTGGGACAGCGTCACCCACACCCTGTCACTGCTGTCACCTGGGTCACTCGTGCTGCTCCCCCACATCCTGCAGAGCTGCTGCAGGGCTGGAGCCCCTCTGCTCTGGAGCCAGGCTGGGAGAGCTGGGGGGGGCTCACCTGGAGAGGAGAAGGATCCAGGCAGAGCTCAGAGCCCCTGGCAGGGCCTGGAGGGGCTCCAGGAGAGCTGCAGAGGGGAAGCCAAACGACCCAATTAAAGAGGAAAACTGCGCAGCCATAATGGATATTCACCTGATTATAATAAGAAGCATAATGGTTATGTATTATGCATCCTTAGAAACGTCTTATATAAAACCTTTTCTGTATAAATAGAGAGCAGGAGTCTGCAACTCCTCACACGTGGCTTTGGAAAGGATTCCACATGTCTGGTGCTGTAATAAATACAGTTTATTACGTCTTTTATTAATAATAATACTATTAATTAATAACTAATAATAATAGCATTTATCATATTTATTACTGTTTATTTATTACTTCTTTTAACTTTAATTAGTTGAGGAGTCATCTGTCCGTGCTTCACTGGCCACCAGCCTGCAGCCTCCTCCACTGCTCTTGGGACAGCTTCACCCATGCCCTGTCACTGCTGTCACCTGTGTCATTCATGCTGCTCCCCCACATCCTGCAGAGCTGCTGCAGGGCTGGAGCCCCTCTGCTCTGGAGCCAGGCTGGGAGAGCTGGGGGGGCTCACCTGGAGAGGAGAAGGATCCAGGCAGAGCTCAGAGCCCCTGGCAGGGCCTGGAGGGGCTCCAGGAGAGCTGCAGAGGGACTGGGGACAAGGATGGAGGGACAGGAGCCAGGGAATGGCTCCCAGTGCCAGGGGGCAGGGCTGAGATTGGGAGATTGGCAATGAGGAATTGTTCCCTGGCAGGGTGGGCAGGGCTGGCACAGCTGTGGCTGCCCCTGGATCCCTGGCAGTGCCCAAGGCCAGGCTGGACAGGGCTTGGAGCACCCTGGGACAGTGGAAGGTGTCCCCAGCCATGGAATGAGATGCTCTTGAGCATCCCTCCCCACCCAAATCACTCTGGCACTTGCTGAATCCATCTCTGCCCACTGCCCTCCAGCCCATTCCCTGCTCCACCTTTTCCTCTTCACCACATTCAGCAGAAAGAAAAGACAAACACCAGTAAAAGGTGTGGAAAATTTTATTCTTTACTGAACTTTATTAGTTTTCTGTTTGGCTTAAACACAATAAATATTTCAGCAGTAGCATTGAACAGACTGGAATTCACACCCATTGCAGTACCTGAACCCCCAGACTCTGGACTCTGGGAAAGCCTTTGGGGCCCCCTGGGATCACAGCACCTCACTGTGGGCCACTGCCAGCACCAGTGTCCCCTCCAGCCCAGGGGACAGGAGCAGGGCCGTGTCCCTGCTGGCAGGGAGGGATGGGGACAGATTTTGAGGTCTCCAACCAGCTCTGACCAAACGGGCTCTGCAGGTGCTGCGGGCTGAGGCAATTGGCACCTTGAAGGGTGAGCAGGGAGTTACCCCAAGAACTTCTGCTCCTGGGGCAGGGATGGCCCAGCCACTTCCTTGGAGAACAGCCGGGGGCTTCTCCAGCCAGGTCTGGCCACATCTGGATGGGCCAGAGGATCTTTTCCACAAACAAGGAGGTCAGCATAGCTCCCACTGTCACCATGGAATCACTGGGGTTGGAAAAGCCCTCTGAGCCCACCTCTGAGCCATTCCCAGCACAACCAAGGCCAAAGTGCTGTTCCATGTCCCCAGGTGCCACATCCTCATAGCTTTTAAATCCCTCCAGGGATGGGGACTCCACCACAGCTGTGCCAGGGATGGACAGCCCTTTCCATGAAGGAATTGTTCCCAAAATCCACCCTGAGCCTCCCCCTGGCACAGCCTGAGGCCATTTCCCCTTGTCCTGTCCTTGTCCCACCAAGAGCAGCCTCTGTGTCACCTCAGCCACTGCTTTGACACAGCTCAGAGGTAGAGGTGGGCAAAACCAGGAGGAGCCAAGGCTGGTTTCCCAAAAGCATCCCTTCCATGGGGACTTTCCAGCTCTGTCAGAAGCAGGCATGGATGCTCTCAGGCAAGAGTTTAGGGCCCTCACTGGAGCTGAGATCCAACTCAGAGCTCTGACTCCCAGCTGCAGATCCTTGACAGGCCAGGAGGTGACACCTCTGTTTAAGGAGCTTAAAGATGTTCCCAGAGCCTCTGGAGCTCCCACTTCCAGCACGCTGCTCCTGGCTCTGGCAAAGCCTTGGGGCAGGGGGACATGAGGAGAGGCAGCTGCCAAACCCCACCATGACCAACCAGAGGCTCCAGGAGAGCTGGAGAGAGCCTGCAGGGACAGGACCCAGGGAATGGCTCCCAGTGCCAGAGGGCAGGGCTGGATGGGATCTTGGGAATGAGGAATTGTTTCCTGGCAGGTGGGCAGGGCTGGCACAGCTGGGGCTGCCCATGGATCCCTGGAAGGGTCCCAGGCTTGGAGCAACCTATCCCTAGAAGAAGAGACAACACAGATCAGCTGTGGGGCACCAGGCAGGAGGAGCTGAGGAGCCAGGACCTGCCCTCTCCATCCCCATGGGAAGGACAGAGCCCAACCAGTGACCACCAGCACGGAACGTCCCCCTCAGGGGCTGGTACCCAGGAGCACTTTTAATTCTGAACACCTGAACCCATGGTGGGCAACAGAAGGGTTGGTTCTCAGCTGCCACACAGGTTTTGGTCTCTTTGTTTCTATTCCCCTCTCAGAATCCAGAAATCACTGGATTTCTAAGAGCCAAAGGAGAAGCCCCCTCCCCAGCAGTTGCCTGGGCTCTACTCTGTCCCTGTCCCCACCAGGTACCAGCCAGCCCAAACCCAGCACTGATTTAAGGAGATTTTTTCTACTTTCAAGGTGCAATAAATTAAGGCACCAAAGAGCCAGAACTCCGCCAAGACAAAGCCTGTGCAGAGGAAGCAGTTCCAGTTTTGGAGAGGGATGTTCTTCCTACACACCAAGACTCAAGCTCAGACAACTCCTCCCAGCCTCAGCAGCATCCCAGTCCTCAGGGGCCAGTGATGCTCATGGGATGAGACAGGACAAGGCAAGTGCCAGGTTTGGGAGCCCAGAGTTCAGCTGGAAGCCTGAGGGAACAGCTCAGTTCTTCCCTGCTTGGGCAAACACAAAACTAGACAGAAAATCATCCAACATACACATTTTTCAGCGTTGCCAGCCCAGCTCTGCTATCTGAACAAGTCCCACAGGGAGCTGTGTCCCAGCTGAAGATTCGCTCCAATTCCTGTGCGAGCAGGATTTAAATTTATTTTATCTCCATAATTCTATTTCATTAAATAGCAGGAGTCAAAAACTCAGGTGCAGCCCAAGTAATTTGTCCATGGAGGGTTTCTTTTTTTTTTTTTTTTTGCTGTACAACATCAGTAAAATGGATTGGAGGAAGCTACTTTATTAAATAAACTCCAAAACCCATTGGACCCCTCTCCCAGCCCCGCCGCAGCCGTAGGGACACGTGAGATCCAGAGCCTCCCACGAGGGATGGCAGCCCTGGGAAGGGCCCAGTTTGCTCCTCACAGGCCAGGGGCTGACCAGGGGTGACCAAGACTGACGAAGGGCTGACCAGGGGCTGCCCAAGCAACCCCTGAACTCACGAGCTCAACCTCAGGGCTTCCAGTCTTGGCATGACAGTGATTCCAATTTCCAAAAGAAAAAGCATTAAATAGCAGTTACACGTTGAAGGCTTCCCAGAGCAGGAAGAGGCTTCCCCTGCAGAAGGAAATTGCTCTGACCGAGCTGTCAGGTGCCCCACGCTGCACAACAATCAGTGTCTGAAGGAATTTGTTCCCATGGTAGTTCCACCTGCACGATCGGCTGTGCTTGTTCTCTTCCGGATGCAGCCTTTCCAGAGCCTGGGTTTAAGCTACACTCTTCATTCAAGCACAGGTCTTCATTGAATCAAGCCAACAGGAAAGAAAATCAGCATTCGGTCTTCACCACCCCACTCAAAGTCAATTAAAAAAAAAAAACGAATTAAAAAATAAAATCAACGCAAACCCATCTTTGACAAGTGGACAGTAAACAAAGAGGTGCCTGGAGACACGCGGGTGCTAGGGACAAAGAGAGGGAGATCTGAAAGGTTCCCACCCCTGGGAGCATCCTGAAGGTGCACACATGACCAACAAGGGCCTTCAGGTGCTTCTCCCAGTGGTGGAATTGCAGTTGGGAAGGGCCAGGCTGTTCCTGGCTGTGGAAAAGGGGCTCAGGCAGCAGGAAAGGACCCAGGGAGCCAACCCATGACAGCAAATCCATGATGGCAGGAATGGGGAGAGCTTGGCTCTCTCGTCTCAGCCACCTTCCATGGCCCAGACCCCATTTCCAGACTGGGAACACACATGGACACACAGGAACATGCTGAGATGTGGTCCCAGGTACCACACAACATGCAGAAGCCACATTCCCACTCCTATGGGAAACTGAGCCCTGATTTTCCAAGCCTCCCATTAGGATTGAACTACAAGCTTTGAGTGTCTTGTCTTTTTTTTCCCCCTAAAAAAAAAAAAAAAAAAGACAACAAAGGTGCTAGCAAGTGTTTGCCCAAAAGCAGGAAGGCAGGACAGAATGTGGGAGAACTGTCACCATCTGCTCCCAAAGTACCAGCCCAGCATGGGGGCTGTCCAGACAGCAGCACTGGGGACAGCCAGGAACTATCCCCCACCACCAGGATGTCCCCCTGCCCTCGGAGGAATCAGCTGCGTTGGTTTTGGTGTCAGGCCAAGGTGCTTTGCTCAGGTAAAGCCTCTGCATCCCCAAGCAGCTTTCCCTGAGCAAGAGCCGGAGTCAGAGGCTTCTCTGGGAACATTCAGCTGGTCTAAGGTACAGTAACAGCGACCTGAAAGGCTCCTCCTCCTCCAGCTCCACCCAAAACCCGAAGCTTGCAGGGATGGAAGAGCAGCAGGAGCCGCCCCGGCCCGGCCCCGCCCCGGCTGCAGCGGATCCCGCGTGTCCTTGGCTCTGTCCAGAGGATACTTTGATCTGTGGTGATGGCTGAAGTATTTACAGGTATTTGCAGCAGGTATTTACAGTCCTTCTGCAGCCCGCAGGCCGATTTTCTCCTCCTCTGCTCCCAGTCAGTCCGGAGTGGGTTTCCGTAGGGAGAAGGGCCGGATGTTGAAGTGCCTGCTCAGCTGGCTCACCTGGGGACAGGCAGACATGGCACTGGGTTATCCTGGATCCTGGGGGGTTATCCCGGCTCCCAGGCACGAGCAGCAGAGCAGGCAGAGCCCCAGACCTGCTCCCTGTTCCCACCAAGCCCCTGCCAGCCACTCTTCCCACCCCATCCATGCCCACAACCCCTGTCCTGCCCAGCCCCATCCCTGTCCCAGGCACTGGTTCCACTGGGAACAGCCTTGCTCCCTTCCCAACCTTCCCAAACAACATCTGGGAGCAGGCTCACCCTCTGTTCTTCCCCTCCACAGGGGCAGGAGTTGGGAATGCTGAGCCCAGGCCTGCGGGATTTTACCCTCCTCCTTCATTATTCTGTTTAAATTCATTTTATCACCTCAGGTATCTACATAAAATATTCCCGAATCCATTCAAAGTGGGAGCTGGATAATTTACCTCCTGCAAAAGGAGGCTGAGCTTGACACAGTCGGGGCAGAGGCTTTAATCCTTATAATTCTTCCCAAATTCAGAGCAGTTTGGGATTATGCCCCAATCCCAAAGCCTTTAAAGGCTCAAAGTGAAGAGGAGCTGGCACAGATGGGCCCTTGGAAAGGCAGAGGGAGGGAAAGAGGGAGCAGAGCACTGGGAATCTCCCAGGAGGGGATGGGCAGGAGGATTACACCACCAGCTCAGCTCCATCTCCAGCTGTGATTCCAAGACCAAATTTATTTAAGCTTCTTAGTAATTCAAATCCTTCTTGCCCAGAAGCCTCATTACACTAATTGGAAAGACAAGGCAACTCCTTGGCTGTAATTACAGCTGGGACACGACTCCCAAGGCTCCGGGGTGGAACTGGGGCTCCCAGGGGAAGGGGCTTCCCAAGGAGGGTGTCCCCACTTCAGCTGGGACACGTGGCCCCCTGTCCTCCTTCCTCAGCAGCTTCCCAGTGGGACTCTGGGCTTCTCCAAGTTTGTTCTCTCTGTTAATCCCAACTCAGAGCATGAGGAGGAAACCAGTCCCTGGATCTGTGCACAGATGGACAGGAGGAAGGGAGGCCCTGGAGCTGCTGTGCTCCCACTTCCCCCAGCAGCAAAATCCCCACTCCAGCCTGCCTCTCCCAGCACCTTGGAGACCTCAGAGGGAGACTCAGAGCCCCTGACAGGGCCTGAAGGGGCTCCAGGAGAGCTTCAGAGGGACTGGGGACAACACCTGGAGGGACAGGAGCCAGGGAATGGCTCCCAGTGCCAGAGGGCAGGGCTGGATGGGAGATTTGGAATGAGGAATTGTTCCCTGTGAGGGTGGGGAGGGGCTGGGATGGAATTCCCAGAGCAGCTGGGGCTGCCCCTGGATCCCTGGCAGTGCCCAAGGCCAGGCTGGACACTGGGACACCCTGGGACAGTGGCAGTGTCCCTGCCATGGCAGGGGTGGCACTGGATGGGCTTTGAGGTTCCTCCCAACCCAAACTATTCCAGGATTTTGTGCTTGGTTTCCAACTCATCTGACCCACCCCAGGGGAAGGCCAGCCCCTGCCACATCCTGTGCAGTTCCTTTCAACCCCATGCAACCTTCCCAAGCCTCTCGCAAGGAATCCACCCCAAATCCCACAGAACCATTCCCAGTGACATTCCCAGCTTCACACCGAGCACTCCCAGCCACGGCCCCGCCCAGGAGGTGCCACCTACCACGACCACTCCGTAGTGGATGTGTGCCAGGGTGAGGAAGGCTGTCAGCAGGTACAGCAGGAGCGTTTCACTGCCTGGAGCCAGCCCAGACACCACCAGGAGCAGCACGGCCGCGATGGGCAGCAGCATCCAGTTGAGGGGCTGGCACCGTGTGCTGCTCATCTGGCACACGATCAGCTGGCACTGAGGGGACAGGGACAGAGCCTGAGCCTGCTGTGGGCTCTGGGAGCAACAGATGTTTGTCCCCAGGGCGGAGGGGATGGTCACTCGTGTGATCTGGCACATTGCCCCCCTTATGCTGGCACTGCTGGGGCACCTCCAGTGCTGGGGGCAGCTCGAGAGACCTGGAGGGGCTGGAGCCAGGGAAGGGAACAGAGCTGGGAAGGGAATGGAGCCCCAGCAGAGGCTGAGGGAGCTGGCAAGGGGCTCAGCCTGGAGAAAAGGAGGCTCAGGGGGGACCTTGTGGCTCTGCACAACTCCCTGCCAGGAGGGGACAGCCAGGGGGGGTCGGGCTCTGCTGCCAGGGAACAGGGACAGGACAAGGGGAAATGGCCTCAGGCTGGGCCAGGGCAGACTCAGGGTGGACAGCAGGAGGAATTTCCCCATGGAAAGCATTGTTAAACATTGGAAAAGCCCAGGGCAGTGGTGGAATCCCATCCCTGAAGGGATTAAAAAGCCCCTGGATGTGGCACCTGGAGCAGGGGTGACCTTGGCAGCACTGGGGGACAGTTGGACTCGGTGGTCTAAGAGGGCTTTTCCAATCTTAACAATCTCACGATTTTACCACTACGCAGCTAAATTAAATTTTCGTTGTTAAACATTGGAAAAGCCCAGGGCAGTGGTGGAATCCCATCCCTGAAGGGATTAAAAAGCCCCTGGATGTGGCACCTGGAGCAGGGGTGACCTTGGCAGCACTGGGGGACAGTTGGACTCGGTGGTCTAAGAGGGCTTTTCCAATCTTAACAATCTCACGATTTTACCACTACGCAGCTAAATTAAATTTTGACCAAAAATGTAGTCCCTCCCATTTAATTTTATCCCCAAAAGGAACTCCTTTCCCATCAGCTTTCACTTTGCTGCCCACAGCACATGCGAAAACTCAATTTAACCAATCCTCCAGTCCCTCAAGCATAAAGCAGAAGCTCTTACAGAGATGTTGGCAAAGGCTGTTCCAACCATGAAATAGAAGAGCCTGGGCTGGACCTCCAGGATGTCAGTGGGGGACAGGAAGATCCAGGTGGTGCAGAGCAGGAACAGCAGCACCGGGGACACCAGGGGCAGCAGGATTTCGTACACAGAGTGGTGCTTCAAGGTGTTATTTTTATAGGCCCTGAAACACAAGCAAAGAAAGGAAAATACATGGAATCACTGAGAAATCCGTGGTGCTGCCTGCAGTGAGTACCTGAAGGGGCTCCAAGAGAGCTGCAGGGAGGACTGGAGTGATAGGACAAGGGGGAATGATTTCCCACTGCCAGAGGGATGGATGGGATATTGGGAATTAGGAATTCTTGGTTGTGAGGGTGGGCAGGCCCTGGCACAGGGTGCCCAGAGCAGCTGTGGCTGCCCCTGCATCCCTGGCAGTGCCCAAGGCCAGGCTGGATGGAGCTTGAAGAACCCTGGGACAGTGGGAGCTGTCCTGCCCGTGGCAAGGGGTGGCACAGGATGAATTTTCCACCCCCTTCCCACCCAAACCCTGCTGGGATTCTACAAAACTCACTTGTAGAAGTTGTACAGGCTCATGGGCAGGGTCACAGTGAGGGCACAGGCTGGAAGAGAAAAGTGCCACGTTAGTGCCCCAGGGCAGAGGGGACACCCCATGCACCCCAAACAGGAGGCCCTGGCTGGGCTCTGCTTTAAATTCCCTGCACCAAAAATAGCTCCTGGTGCCCCAGGAATAGCTCAGCACATTTGGAAGTAGCTGCTCCTGCGTGTGGCCCAGGAGCTGTAATTAAAAGTTAAAGTCTGCTGTAAGTTGAAGACATTTCCATTTGAAAGGGCTGCATTAAGGAGCTCGGGTTTGTGCTTTAAACAGTGACAAAGCTAATTATAATACAACTCTAATGAGACAGGAGTGCACACTCCTCAAATGACATGGCTGGGCACAAGTTTTCACAAGAAAGACAATTTGCTGTTTCTCTGGCTGTGTGCAGACATTTCCAGTGGCCACATTGCCAAAAAGTTGTGATTTAACTGGATAAATGATACAAAGCACCCAAATAACTGAAAAATCCTGACCTCAATCAGAACCACCAACACTATCCATGATATTCCAGGGCAAATCCTTCCCTGTTTATCCAGCAGAAGGTGTGTGAACAGAGCTGGAAATATTCCTGCTTTAATAACCCAGCTCCTCTCCCCCGTGTGGGAACTGGGCTCAATTTCTCATATAGAAAAAGCACATTCATTATTCATGTTAAGTCACACAGCTGTCAAAGGAAAGCTGGGAACATCTACCTGATAAAAGTGCAAGTACATTTAACACACCAATTAACTCAAAATTAAGCAATTACAAGGAACACCTGAAGGGACACAGGAAATAAACTGAGCAGAACTTGTGAATTAGGCAAATGGCATTGAACAACATCAGCTCAGCTCTACCCTTTGCAGTTTTATTTTGACTGACCACAGTAGAGCGAGGCTGGGCCTTTATTTCAGTTTTATTATTGTTATAATGATGTAATGTTCAGGTGGGTGGATGGAGGGCAGGATCCCCAAACAGCAGAGCTCCCACCCACCTCTGTGGCTGCAACCTCCCTCCCACACAGTGTTTGGGCTCTGGGATGAGAAGGAGCCCCAGAGCAACAAAACAAAAGTGTCCTGACCCCTCCAAACCAGCCCAAGGCTGGGGAGGCTCCACTGAGAGCCAGGCCCCACCACCCCCTGACCACTGGGCTTTATCCCCTGGAAACTCTGGGTTTACCACACTGGTTTTACCCCCAGGCTCTCACTGAGCACAAACTAAGCTTGTCTGGAGTGAAGTCAGCCCAGGCAGAGCAGAGTTAAGTTCTCCAAAATAACTCTGCAGGAGACAACCCTGTTTTGAAATCCTGGGAAAGGTTTCCAGGCTGTGAGAACACCCTCAATTAGTCACTTCAACAACAGCCCGGGGCAGCAAACAGAGCAGTGTTAGCAGGTCATTAGCAGGGGGTTTGGGAGAAAGGTAAATTTAAAAGAAAAGCTTCAACATGGAGTTTCTTACCAATAATCATTGCAGTGAATAGGTCTCTATATAAGAAATTAAACAGGAAAGGTGCATACCAGGCCTCAACTCCCACAAAGGCTGTCACTATGTAGACAATTGAAATGGTCTGAAAGAAAGCACAGGACAAGCAGGGGTGAGAAATGAGATGGGCAAGTCTGGCAGCACCTGGGCTGGCAGCACCACACACGTGCCAGGCTGCTCCAGGGAAAGGCAGCTCTAAGCTATGACATGTTCAGTCCTACCCACCAGCAGGAAAGAGAAAAATAAAACAAAATCCACAAATATCCCACTTTCCCAGGTGTAGGAAGGGCGAGCTGCTGAGCAGGGATTGGATTGGGAAGTGCTGGCACTGCTGGGGCTCCTCCAGTGCTGGGGGCAGCTCTGGGCCCCTCCTGCCAGGAGAGACCTGGAGGGGCTGGAGCGTGTCCAGGGAAGGGAACGGAGCTGGGAAGGGAATGGAGCCCCAGGAGAGGCTGAGGGAGCTGGGAAGGGAATGGAGCCCCAGGAGAGGCTGAGGGAGCTGGCAAGGGGCTCAGCCTGGAGAAAAGGAGGCTCAGGGGGGACCTTGTGGCTCTGCACAACTCCCTGCCAGGAGGGGACAGCCAGGGGGGGTCGGGCTCTGCTGCCAGGGAACAGGGAGAGGACAAGGGGAAATGGCCTCAGGCTGGGCCAGGGCAGGCTCAGGGTGGGCACCAGGAGGAATTTCTCCATGGAAAGGGTGCTCAGGCCTTGGCAGGGGCTGCCCAGGGAGGTGGTGAAGTCACATCCCTGGAGGAATGTAAAAACCACGTGGAAGTGGCACTTGGGAGCATGGGCCAGTGGTGGCCTTGGCAGTGCTGAGGACGTGGCTGGACTCGATGGTCTCAGAGGGTTTTTCCAACCTCACTGATTCCATGAGGAGAATATGACCAAGAACTGCAGGAGAAATGCCCTGGCACAGCCTTGAACTCTCGAGGTGACCACAGCACAGGTTTTACACAAGTTGCAGTGACCCTGGAGGGGTCATTCAGGGATTCTTCCTTATCCATCTGCTGCTGGATTACAGGGAGAAGCTCACCAGGGCTATTTCAGCTTTAATAGTCCCCTGAAGCTGGGTGCAACACGCTGCTCTGCCCTCCACCCCTGCCTTTCTCCAGCAGGCAGCTCAAAGACCTGGGTTAAGCAACATTTTGGGAGAAAGGATCAGAGTACAGTCAGGGACCAGCTCTGGTCTCCTTGAAACAGGAGAAATTATTATTCCAATTAATGCAGCTGCATTAATTAAACTCTCCTTCCAACTCGTTGCATTTCCCACCCAGCATCTGACAAACCAGAGAACAAATAAATGGACATAAGATAATGAGTTAAAAAGAAGCTTTTTTACAATGAGGGTGGTTGCCCAGAGAAGCTGTAGCTCCCTCATCCCTGGAAATGTCCAAGGCCAGGCTGGACAAAGCTTGGAGCACCCCGGGCTGCAGGAAGGCACTGCCAGCAGTCCAGGTGAGCTGCCTCCTCCCCAGATTCCTGTTCTCTTCAGGAAAAGCTTCCTGCAGAGAATTCCTTGAGGGATGGACACACCAACACCTCAAGGCGTCCATCACCATCAGTGCCCAGGGACCACGGTCTGGAGGGGCACCTCCCCAGGAATCTTTGCTTCAGGAACAGCAATTAACAAGCCAATTACCTCCACTGAATTTTTGACCCAGATCCTGGAAGTGCCAAAAGGCAACCCAAACTTCCAGGCTTCACCCACACTGTTACCACGTAGGGAACTACATAAAGCAACAATTCCAGCGGGCAAAACAGGAACCAGGGAGAGGAGAGCCAAGGCCATGTCCATCCTTCAAGCCTTGTTTGTCATGGAGAGTCCATGTCCATGGACTGACTCCATGACTGACAAGGCTTTGGATCCACAGCAGAACACCCCACTCAGTGGGCAGCACTGCACCCAGCATCTCCCCAGGGCGTGGACTCACCACCTGGCTGACGTCGTATCCCCAGGGCAGGAAGAGAATCCCTGTGTTATACTTCTCCCAGTGGGAGAGGATGAAGGAAAACAAGACCACCCAGAGCAGGAGGTAGAGCACGAAGACGCTGACGCCGGTGGAGCCGCGGCCGAAGGTGGAGTACACGGTGACCACAAAGTACACGCAGGCCCAGCTGTCCAGCCCGTGGTCAAAGAGCTCTCCCAGGGGCGTGCTGGAGTTGGTGCGGCGTGCCTGTTTCCCGTCAACGCCGTCTGGGAAGAGAAACATGGATGGTGTGTTGAAGTCTTTGAGCCAGGTCTGAGGAGCTCTCAGAGAATCTATCGCACCTCAGCTGCGCATGAACGGCATGAAATTGGCAGGATGGCTTCTGAGGTGGTGTTGGAAACAGAAAAAGGTTTAATAAAAGGCAAAAAACCAAAGGTCTTATAGGGAAAAACTGAGCCAGGGGCAAGTGCAGCCATGATATTTTATGAGAAATCCTTTCCTAGGATTTTTTCCGTCCTGAGGAGCTGAGAGCCTCAGGAAAGAAATGTAAACAATAACTGTGTGCTGCTGTGGGATGCCACAGGTGCATCTTCCACTGGTCCATGTGGATTGTTTTCAATTAGTGACCAGTCACAGCCACCTGTGCCAAGGCTGTGAGCAGGCACAGGATTTTGTTATGCATTTCTATTCTATTCTATTCATTCTATTCTATTCTATTCTATTCTAGTCTAGTCTAGTCTATTCTATTCTTGTCCTTTGTAGTCTTCTGATCTGTCTTCTCCCTCTGTTCTTTTAGTATAGTTTTAATGTAGTATTTTAGTAATAAATCAGCCTTCTGAGAAAAATGGAGTCAAGCCTCGTGTCCTCACACATGGGAGAATTTCTGCAAGAGGCAAGAGGTTCTTGTTCCTGCTAAAACACCCCACAAAAGTGACTATTTCCTTTGTTCTCTTCTTTTTCTAGTGAATTACCTAGATGGGACCTCGTGGCCTCTGTCTAATCAGACAGCCCAGGTCTGAGGTGAAGTCCAAAAGGTCCCGTGAGGTGTGTTTTGTACCAAATTGGGAGAGAAACTTCTGGGCTTTTTGCCTTTTTAAGCAGACAAAGAATAATTTAGTCACTCCATCAACAGGGGCACATTCCTACACATGGAGCTCTCCTGGACACTCCACACAAAGCAATGGGCCAGGGAACAGCAGCTTTCCCCACCTTCACCCTCAATCTGTGAGTGGATTCCCACCCCTGCTCCATGAGAGGCTGAAAAATGCAACAGTCTGATGAGATTAGATTTATTTCCTTGTATTTCCTTTATATTCCTTAAAGCAGCCACCCTCCATCTGTGAGTGGACTTCCCACCCCTGCTCCATGGGAGGCTGAAAAATGCAACAGTCTGATGAGATTATATTTATTTCCTTGTGTTTCCTTTATATTCCTTAAAGCAGCCTCTTCCTGTGCCTAAAGGAGATCCAGGAGAGCTGGAGAGGGACTTGGGACAAGGGATGGAGGGACAGGACACAGGGAATGGCTTCAACGTGGAAAAGGGGACATTTGGGTGGGATATTGGGGAGGAATTATTGGTTGTGAGGGTGGGCAGGCCCTGGCACAGGCTGGCCAGAGAAACTGTGACTGCCCCTGGATCCCTGGAAGTGTCCAAGGCCAACCTGGATGGGAGTTGGAGCAACCTGGTGTTGGATTAGGCATGTTTACATAGGCGTGTTTTGTTTGTTTACAAACAAATGCATACTATGTGAACCCTCCATCAGACTTTAAGAATTCTCCACAAATTCATTTCGCATATTTGGGATAGTGGAAAAGGTCCTTGCCCATAGCAGGGGTAGAACCAGAGGATTTTGCAGGTCCTTTCCAACCCAAACCCTTCTGAGATTCTCTGATTATTTAGAGCAGACCCAAGACAGAGTTTCACAGTTCATCTCAAAGTCACTTCCAGTATTCTCCTTTCCATCAGATGCTCTGGGACAACTTCCTTGTGTCCACGTTGCAAAGCAGCTCCCAGGAACTGCTCCTGGCAAGAGCACAGAATCTAACACTTCCTGTGGGTTCAGGGAGAGGACAACACAACCACAGCATGAGTGGGTGACCCTGAAAACTCTTACCTAACGTGTAGGCCATGAAGTTGAGGAGCCCCACCACGATCCACACGCCGTTTGGAACGTGCTGGTGATCAGGAGCTGCAGGGATCAGACAGAGCAGAGTCAGGACACTTCAGGATGTGCTTCCTGAGGGTTTATTTTGGCCCAAAAAGCACAGCCAGGAGGACTCAAACAGTGAATTTGGGACGTGAGCTTTGCAGGATGTGATGGCAGAGCTGCCCCGTAACAGCTCGTGAAACCAGGTCGGTGAGGACTTTGCCTTTCAGGATATATTTGTCCTTTGCTCCCTGCTCTCCAAAATCATGGGATCTGAGAACTGGGGCCAGTTCTGTAGTGCCACTGTGTGGGAATGGTTGTGAGGGTGGGCAGGCCCTGGCACAGGCTGGCCAGAGAAACTGTGACTGCCCCTGGATCCCTGGAAGTGTCCAAGGCCAACCTGGATGGGAGTTGGAGCAACCTGGTGTTGGATTAGGCATGTTTACATAGGCGTGTTTTGTTTGTTTACAAACAAATACATACTATGTGAACCCTCCATCAGACTTTTAAGAATTCTCTACAAATTCATTTCCCACTTTTGGGATAGTGGAAAAGGTCCTTGCCCATAGCAGGGGTAGAACCAGAGGATTTTGCAGGTCCTTTCCAACCCAAACCCTTCTGAGATTCTCTGATTATTTAGAGCAGACCCAAGACAGAGTTTCACAGTTCATCTCAAAGTCACTTCCAGTATTCTCCTTTCCATCAGATGCTCTGGGACAACTTCCTTGTGTCCACGTTGCAAAGCAGCTCCCAGGAACTGCTCCTGGCAAGAGCACAGAATCTAACACTTCCTGTGGGTTCAGGGAGAGGACAACACAACCACAGCATGAGTGGGTGACCCTGAAAACTCTTACCTAACGTGTAGGCCATGAAGTTGAGGAGCCCCACCACGATCCACACGCCGTTTGGAACGTGCTGGTGATCAGGAGCTGCAGGGATCAGACAGAGCAGAGTCAGGACACTTCAGGATGTGCTTCCTGAGGGTTTATTTTGGCCCAAAAAGCACAGCCAGGAGGACTCAAACAGTGAATTTGGGACGTGAGCTTTGCAGGATGTGATGGCAGAGCTGCCCCGTAACAGCTCGTGAAACCAGGTCGGTGAGGACTTTGCCTTTCAGGATATATTTGTCCTTTGCTCCCTGCTCTCCAAAATCATGGGATCTGAGAACTGGGGCCAGTTCTGTAGTGCCACTGTGTGGGAACTCAGCACATCACTCAGAGCTACTGAGACAACCCTTGGGGGGCTCGGGAGCCCTGGAATGTTGCCAAAAGTGTCTGGTGGCTTGACTTTGACTCTTCTAAGGAAGTGTCACCTGTGTATGAGGAGATGAGAGATCTTCAAGTTTGAACGGTGAAGGGATGATATTCACAGGATGAAACACAGATTTTAATGCACTGTACAGGGGGGTTTTGCGTGTTGTACAGGGGAGGTTTGGAATCCTGTACATGGGGGTCAGGAGTCCTCAGATGGAGGGATTTGGGAGTGCCCCGTCCTTCTTCTTTCTTCTCCCTGGCATCCATGTCCAGGATGATGTTGGCACGTATGGATTGGTTCATGGTGAAGGTGCACTTGTTAACAAGGGTGAAAAGTATTGGAAATAGAAGGTAAATATATTATATGTAGTTTTCACTATAAAAGACACAACTGCCCCGTGGGTTGTGTCTTTTATAGTGAAAGAGTGCTTTTGGCTGTCTTGCTGATCAGACCTCGGCTGGGCAGACAGAAAAACTTTGTAGATAAGAAATAATAAACACAACTGAAGACCGAAAACTCAGGAGTCCAGGCTCATTCTTCAGAGCACAGCCTGCCCAGAACCACCTTTTCACGTGTCAGGGCAGAGACAAGTAACTGTGGACCCCAACACCACTGCAGGCCGTGTGGAAGTGTGTGCAGAGGTGAAAACTCAGGAGTCCAGGCTCATTCTTAGAGCACAGCCTGCCCAGAACCACCTTTTCACGTGTCAGGGCAGAGACAAGTAACTGTGGACCCCAACACCACTGCAGGCTGTGTGGAAGTGTGTGCAGAGGACACTCCTCAGTCACTGGCTCGAAGAGCATCAAGTGGAGCCTCTTTGATGTGGCAACTCCCTGCCCCCGCAGGAACACGCCAGGATTCCCCGCCCAGTCTCCAGTCCCGTCCTGCCAATGGAAACCCAGCTCTTCCCTAACAGCACCTCCACCTCCCCCAGCACGGCTCAGGCAGCGAGCCAGCAGAGCTGCCTGCACCTCGCCCCACACTTGTGCATCAAGGCTTTGTGGATTTCCTGACAGCACACCTTCACTTTCTCCTCTGACTGACAGTGTTTTATTTTGTATCATGAGATAAAATGGAATGAACGTGAACGCCATCCAGATTCAAACTACTATCCAAAATAAAACCTAATTTGGGACTTTCAGCACGCTGGTTAATACCCACACTGTGTTGGTTGTGGTAGAAGCAGAGTAACAGCCCATTCTTCTTGCCCAGCACCTTTCTCCCCTGTTAATATTTACTTCCTAATGGATATCATGATGGGCTGCAATTAGGGAGCCCAAAGGGGCAAGGGAGAAGGGCAGGAAGAGCCATGGATCCTTGGCAGCAGGAGGGCACGGGGAGGGCTCCTGGGGGAACAGTGATCCCGTGAAATGCCACCTCCTGTTTCCTCAGGGCAGCAGGATGGTGCCCTTCCAGCAGCACAGGGAGGGAGGGCATCACATCTGCAAAGCCATCCAAGGAGGAGGGAAGGCACAAAATTCTGGAGTGGCACCAGGAGAAGTTCTCTCTCCAAGCAGGACACGCAAAACATTTACGTGAAAGGGTCCCAAGCCAATTTTTGAGAGGCTGGGAGAGTTTGGGATGTCCTGCCTGGAGAAGAGATGGCTCCAGGGAACTCTTAGAGACCTTTCCAGGGCCTGAAGAGCCTCCAGGAGAGCTGGAGAGGGTGGGACAAGGGCCTGGAGGGACAGGACAAGGGGGAATAAATTCCCACTGCCAGAGGGCAGGGATAGATGGGACACTGGGGCTTGGAGCACCCTGGGATAGTGGAAGGTGTCCCTGCCCCTGGGAGGAGGCGTGACTGGTTGGGCTTTAAGGCCCCTTCAACCCAAACCATTCTGGGATTCCATGATTCTGGATGTCTGACGTCCTGGGGGTTTTCACCTTGAGCTACTGACAGCTTTTGTTCTCATGGCTCATGGACCTTAACAGCCCAAACCCTGGCCAAAAGCCCAGGTGCCACCCGAGCCTTCAACAGCTTTGACTTGTCTACCAGTAAAGGAAATCCCAAGAAACCAGGATTTTTGCCACGTGACTGTGTTTTGATGATGGGTCCAGTTTAGAAGAACTGCACAAACTCTCCTGAGCAACCTAAACCAGACCTGGCAGTATCTAAGGGAGAGAAAAACACGGAGATGCTCCTGAGAATTATCACACTGCATTAATCCTTTCCCTGGGATTCCTCCATGTGCAAAGGAACACGACTGAACCATTGGATTCACAGACAGATGAACATGGGGACTGTTAGAAAGTTTAAAGCTGTGAATGGTGAAGCTCAGAAAGAGGATTTGGCCTTGTTAGTCTGATGTGCTGGTGGTTTTGCCAAGAGGGGAACGAGCTGGGATGTGAAAAACAAGGCTCCACCTGCTGATTTCAGGGAAGCAGCACTTCCTAACATTTTCCTGTTAGATTTTCAAACAAGGGCGCTGGGTTGTTTGCTCTGCAGGCAGAGGCAATTCCAACCCAAGATTCCAGCTGTCTCCTCCTCCCTGTCCTGCCCCCTGCCAGCCAGGAGCACTTTTCCCTGGCAGCCAGAGGGAAGGTGTCACATCCTGACAAATCCTTGTCACAAAACCCAGTGAGTTCAATCCCCTCCTCTGTCCCAGTCACTTTGGGAAGGCACAGAGGCCTCACCAATTCCCAGCAGAGGAGGTGACAGATTTCCCACCTGACCAGGAACATGCAGCCTTACCAGAAGCATAAAAGTCAGGGTCGAAGTATGCCATGAGGAAGAAGTTGAAGACAAGCAGCAGGAAGCCAGAAAACGTTATCAAATTTGGGGCCAGCCAGGTAGGGAAGATCTATGGGAAAGCAGCAAAAGAACAGATGAACTCATTAAAACATGGACTGAGGAGCAGGCGCTGCTCCAGCCATGGTTGCACTGTCTGGGTGTTAGACAACACTGCCAGGAGCAGCTGGAACATCCTGGGGCAGCAGGAAGCGTGGGGCTGGGATGCAGGCATTCAGGATTTGGGGCAGGCTGCAGTGCCTGCAGCACTCATTAATAGCACCACAAACGAAGCAGCTGATGGTGTTACAGAGCTGACCTGGGCTGTGCTGTCCTGCTCAGGGTGGGACAGGGACTCACCTTCACCACGGCGTTCCAGAAGGGATGCATGACGTACAGGGACAGGGGGTTGCTGTCCACGGCGCTGTACTGGGAAAGGGAAACAAAAAACAACAGTCAGGGCTGCAGAACCTCCCAGCAACCTGCAGAAACAGCCAAACATCTGGAACCTTCTGAGCCACATCCTGTGTGGCACCCCCACAGGACTCCTGATGTATCCTCCACCCTTTGGAAATGCCAGCTCTCTAAGTGGACACAGGCAATGAGAAAAATGCTGATCCTTTCAACTGCTTCCAACTGCTCTGCCCCACCTGGATGAGGAGGAATGCTGTGGGTCCTACCCCCCAGCAGTGCCATCTGTCACATTTGGAAATTCCAGCTCTCTGAGTGGACACAGGCAATGAGAAAAATGCTGATCCTTTCAACTGCTTCCAACTGCTCTGCCCCACCTGGATGGGGAGGAATGCTGTGGGTCCTACAGCCCAGCAGTGCCATCTGTGACCTTTGGAAGTGCCAGCTCTCTGAGTGGACACAGGCAATGAGAAAAATGCTGATCCTTTCAACTGCTTCCAACTGCTCTGCCCCACCTGGATGGGGAGGAATGCTGTGGGTCCTACCCCCAGCAGTGCCATCTGTCACCTTTGGAAATGCCAGCTCCAGCTCTCCGAGTGGACATAGGCAAGGAGCAAAATGCTGATCCTTTCAACTGCTTCCAACTGCTCTGCCCCACCTGGATGAGGAGGAATGCTGTGGGTCCTACCCCCCAACAGTGTCATCTGTCACCTGCTCTGCTGTGACCCCTTTGCTCCCTTGCTGGTCCCAGTCTCCATCCTCATTTCCAGCAGTGGGACTGAGAGCCCCTTGAGCAGGATGGGTCCCAGAGGGCCCCTCTCCACTAAGGAGCAGGAGATTTCACCAGAGACAGCTTTGGGAATGGGGAGGTAGAGCTCCTACCCCTCACCCATCACTTTCACAACATCTGAGGTGCTCAGGGTGTGTTTGTGGTGGGGGAAATAAAAGTAGAAATAAAAATCAAAGACCTAGACAAGGCATGAAACAACTTCCAGATAGAAAGTTAAAATTTGACATCATTTGGCTCTCGAGAGCAGCACGAGCCATTATCTACTCTCACAGCCCCTTCCAAACACAGATTACCCTGGCTAAAGTCCTCTTCTCCCAGGAACACTTTGATAAGAATGCCAAGAACAATTCCACAAGCTACCAAACTCCTGGGCTCACATACTCAGTGCTGGGCTGGGCAGAACCTGCTGCTCACCCACCTGCTTGGGACAGCACCCCCAACTCCAGCACAGCCATCTGCCCAAGTCCAATCCCAACCACAGAATCCCAGAGTGGTTTGTGTGGGAAAGGACCTTCCAGAAACTCCAGTGCCACTCCCTGCCATGGGCTGGGACACGTTCCACTGTCCCAGACTGCTCCAAGCCCTGTCCAGCCTGGCCTTGGGCACTGCCAGGGATCCAGGGGCAGTCACAGCTGCTCTGGGCACCCTGTGCCAGGGCCTCACCCCATCACAGCCAAGAATTCCTTCCCAATATCCCACCCAAATCCCCTTTTCCACTTTGAAGCCATTCCCTGTGTCCTGTCCCTGAATCCCTTGTCCCCAGTCCCTCTGCAGTTCTCCTGGAGCCCCTCCAGGCCCTGCCAGGGGCTCTGAGCTCTCCCTGGATCCTTCTCCTCTCCAGGTGAGCATTCCCAGCCTGGCTCCAGAGCAGAGGGAGCCCAGCCCTTGGAGCAGCTCTGTGGCCTCCTCTGGATTCATTCCAACAGGTACCACATTTGGTTTGGCTGGTAAAAGGAAAACCCCTCAGCAAAAAGCAGCTCCAGGTGTGTCCCCCAGCCCATGGCCTTGAACCAGCCCCTGTCACTGCACCCATGGATTGCTCCAACCTGTTCCTCTCCTTGTCTGCATTCCCCACTTTTCCCTGGAAGCAGAGAAGTGGTGGGAAAGGGCAAAGCAACACCCTCCAAGACAGGCACCAGGACCAAGAAGTGATAAAGGACCAAGAAGGTCTCTCTGGGGTCCCATCTTACAGCATTTGCTCCCATCTGGGTGAATCCCATCCTTGGCAAGGATTTCTGTACCCTCTCCCAGCCCTTCCCTGCCCTCCCTGTGCAGGGTCAGTCCATCTCCCTGGACTCAACCCCAGAGGTTGTGTCCCCACAGGAGAGCAAGAAGCAACAAACCCCAAAGCCGTATGGAAGCAACTCTAAGCCGCAAGGAATTTCCATCTCAGCTTAATGCAATTTTGGGGGGGCAGAATTCCAAATGCTTTACAAGATAATAGGATTTGAAGCACCAGTTAGGGGAGGAGGAGAGACTGATTTAATCTCATTATCCCCAAAACAGTCTGGAAAAATAAAACAGATGCAAGGTACCTCAGGGAAATTTCACCAGGCCCATGGCTTGGGAAGTTTTCTCTCTCCTTGCAAGAACTGGGGATAATATTGAATAAACAGCTTTTCCCCGTGGCCACACATGTTCCCACCTTGCTTGCAGAACTCAAAGAGCTGTTTCTTGGAAAAAGGGCAGCTGCTCTGCAGAGGTTTGCTGATGCAGCCATGGAACCATGGAATATCCTGAGTTGGAAGGGACCCACAGGGATGATGGAGTCCAAACTGCTGCCCCTGCCCAGACCTCCAACAATCCCACCCTGCACATCCCTGAGAGCATTGTCCACATGTTCCTGGAGCTCTGGCAGCCTCGGGGCTGTGCCCATCCCCTGAGCAGTGCCCAGCACCCTCTGGGGAAGAACCTTTCACAATATCCAACCTAAACCTCCCTGGCACAGCTCCAGCAGTTCCCTTGGGCCCCATCCCTGTCACAGAGAGCAGAGATCAGAGCTGCCCCTCAGAAGGAAGCTGTTGACATCCATGAGCTCTCCTCTGAGTCTTTTCTCCAGCTGAACAAGCCAAGTGCCCTCAGCCACTCCCTGTGTGGCCCCTCCAGACCCTTTCCCATTGGGTCTGTGCCCCTTTGGATCTCTCCCACAGCTTTAGATCCTTCCTATGCCCCCCAGCTCCTGCCAGGCTCCAGCCAGGACACTTCTCTGTGTGCTGAGCAAGGCCAGCCATGCTGTGCCTGCTCTGGGGACACCCTGGGGCACAGGGACAGAACCAGGGCTGGCTCTGGTGCCAGGTTGGCTGCCACCCTAGGGGACAGCACTCTGGACAGCCAGGACACGGCTGCCTGCCCGGGACAGCTGCTCCCAGAATACCAATGAGCTGCCAGGCACCTTCAGGGACAGATCCCAAAAGCATCCTGGCCATGCCCAGCCTCCTCCAGCTGCTTTTCCTTGTCGGGGTCTTCCTTACAAACATTACTGAAGTTGTCCCTTCCACCTCTTCACTTGTGAAGCCCCAAACCCAGCAGTGTTTGAGCCTTCCCTCACCTCATCCTCACTGGAAATTAGTGTCACCCTCTGCATTTTGGATCTCCACACACTGGTCTAGTGACTCACATCCCTCTATAAGTCGTTCTTCTATCTCGACCAATGATTCCCACCAGCCTGGACTCTGGATTTCTGCCCCTTTTTCAGGGAAAGAAGGTTAAAGGAAAGGGAGAAGAGCCCAGAAGGAATTTCATACATCCCAGTCTCCTTCCCAAAGCAGCCAGGCATTTGTAAAGGGCCCTGTTCTAAAAGAGCTCCATGCTCACAGACAGTTTCTCCTCACGGCTGCAGGGAGGAGCCAGGCAGCCCAGACAGCTCCCTCGGGATTGGGGTCAGAACTCCTCAGAGAAAGAGCAAAACCAGCAGCAACAATCACTGGCAGCACACAGGAGCCTCCTGTCCATGCCAGGATGGAGCCACAGGCACCCCAAGAGTTGGGGACAGGCCCAGTGGCTGTGGTGCCATCCCAGACAAGCTGTCTGGCGTCGTTATGGGATTTACAGACACAAATTGCTTGTATGGCTTCAACCCAACATTAATCCTGCAACCAGGACACCTCTGGGAGATCCAATTACGTGTCCAAAGAGGAAAAAAATACAGATTTATAGCCCAGATTCTACTAATGGTCTTCCTGTCCCGGAAAAAAACAATTCTGCTTTGAAGTAATCTGGTTACCCAGAGCCAGCAATGGAACAAGCACTGCCATAGAACCCTGGAGAATCCTGAGTTGGGAGGGACCCACATGGGTCACCAGGTCCAGCTCCTGGCCCTGCAGAGGACATGCCAGGAATCCCACCATGTGCCTGGTGTGATGCACCCCATCACTGGGGTGAGCCAGTGGTGTTGGTGTGTGACACCGGGGTGGGCTGGGGCAGCACAGCACTGGTGGCACCTGTGCTGAGGACAGCAAACAAAATGGATTTGCACAACCCATCTTGCTCCCAGGTGCTCCAGGCAGGATCAGGGCACTCCAGCAAGGCTGCTCCCTACAAATCTCCTTAAATACAAAGAGGGCACAAGGCTAAGAACCTTCTCCCCTCGGGCTCAAGATAAGGCAGGAGGCAGAAAACTCAACCAATCCCAGCAAATGGAAGTGAGCAGAGCTGTGCCAGGCAAAACAAGGCACGTTTGCCCTATGCCCACCCTTGGCCAGCGTGTGAGGAGTCACCTCACCCTTTAATGGTACTGATTAACTCGAGCCCTGTTTGCCTTTTGCAAGGTCACTTCTCAGCTGGCACCAGAAGGGAGAGTGTTGGCAGTGCAGAGCTGCACCCACCACACGAGCCCGTGGGTTTGGAAGTTGCAGGAAGGATGTGGATGTGCTGGCTGTGTGCCCCAGCTGCAGCTTTCAGCGTGTCCCTCCTCCTGCCTGGGTTTCACTGAGCAGGGTTCAGACATCCAGCAATGAAAGATGCTCCAAAACACAGCATAAAGTCAGAATCACTGAGGCTGGGAAAGCTCTCTCCAAACATCGAGTCAAACCATCCTCTGGCACTGCCAAGGCCACCAATGCCTGATGTCTCTTGGTGCTACATCCACAGGGTTTTTAAATCCCTCCAGGGTTGGAGACTTCACCACTGCCCTGGGCAGCTGTGCCAGGGATGGACAGTCCTTTCCATCCTCTGGCACTGCCAAGATGTCCCTTGGTGCCACATGCACAGGGCTTTTAAATCCCTCCAG